ACTTGTTTCGAATGTTATTGAGCATTAGAGGACGGCTCCATGCTCTTAACTCCTAATTTTGCCACTTATTGGAGGTATTGTAGTCTTTATTCTACATTATTTAGAATTTTTTGAGTTTAAAATTAGAAATTAGAAAAATAAGTTGGAAAATTAGAATTTTCTGCGTTTAAAACATGATTGAGAATTTTCTAATTTATCACTAATCAGATCAAGTGAGCGAAATTTTATAGAATTTAAGGGCATTTGCTCCGAAGGAGCAATTACAACCGCGACGGAAAGAGGGAGCAAGATAGCGCATCGCGCATCGGAGGCAGAAGCAGCGCGCTGCGGTGACGGGCCAAGATATGGCCGGGAGAAGCGAGCTGCGATCGCGCAGCGAAGGGCTCGGACTCGGAACGTACCGCCCTACCTGCCCGCCTTGATTCCGCCGCCGAGCAGTGGCTCTCCGCTCAGCTGATCGCAAGCGATTCTCCAGCACATGAGTCGGCCCGTGTTCAGGCCACGCAGCGCGCTGCGCCACCTCCATCCGCTCTCTATACGTATTTCTGTCTCTCTCTCTTTCTGTTTTCAATGCAATTTACATACTGAACACCTTTTATAAATTATATTTACTAAAATGTAAAACATGCATGTAACAGGTGTAATTTTCTTCTTTCTTTTGAAATCTTTGGGCAAGCAGTGCTTGCCTTGCTTATCCGGACCGCACGCCACTGCTGCGTTTGTTAATTTATTTTGTGGGTGCAAATGTGACAATAAGTTACTTACCTCGACTGTGCTTACCATGTACATCAGTGGCAAGGTATGAATGATAGATCATCGATATTTCCCCATTTGAAGCTATGGTAAAAAATCGATTATCAAGATGTTTGCAAACACCCTGTTTGTGGAGGTTTAAATGGCAGATATATCGATATATCGCAAAGCACGCCACGCCACTGATGTATGTAATAACATTCGATTCAAATTGGTTGAAATGGTCACATGAGTCACATTCATGGTTTTATTCTTCTCTGATCCCCGTAATCTCACCAATTAAAATTCGTTCCTTTTGATCTCATCAATGTTGTATTTTGAATCAGAACCTCTAAAATATGTTTTAAAACATGCTCATTATCTTGTTTCAGTTCCTGTCACTCTTTGCGTCTTCATGCAGTTTGCAAGTTGTGATGGCCATTTGGGACGTTTACTTTCAACAGACTGACCCATTTTTCTTGTTTTTCTTAGCTCTAGTCATTATCGTAAATGCTAGGTATGTCATTCTGGCTTAGTTATAAATTTTAAAAGTTAAAGTGTTTATTCTTATCAGACATTTTTATAATTTTATTTCTTAGTAGCCATTCTAGACTTGCAAGATGTTAGTCGGTGGGACATAAAAGAATTTGGTTTGTAAAGCTTTCAATGTTGCTTAAGCCTCCGAGTTACATTGCAAGAGCAATAGCTGCAAGTTAAGCATCAGCTTCAGCTGTTTTTTTGTGTCAGTTAATGTCTGGTAGCTATTTTTCAAGCAAGAAAAAATAAAATCAACAATTTTTAAAGAGGTTTATAAGTGCACTCATAGAATTATAAATTTGTTCCTCCCCTGCAGGGCATATGAGGACCTTTCTGAAGAAACAGCATTTACCCAGGTCAACATCCCTGAGATTGCGCAACTCTTCCTCTCCTTTTACAACTGTCTGAAATCACTCTTATTGTGCATTTCTTTGCCAAAATATTCAGAATAATAGAAAGAAAATTTGAGGCAAATTTCATAGTAGAGCTTACAGCTCTCTACCAACTAAACAATTAAATGTCTGCACAATCTAGCAACATTGACATGAGTATACGCTGTTTGGTCGGGAAAGTCTTCGTATACTGTAGATTTTTTCTTTTGAAGCAAGCCCAAAAACATTCAAGTGATTTAGATCATGGTACAATCTCACTGGCTTAGATATCCTTGCTAGGATACTCGTCTTATTCAATGTATTTAATTTTTGTTTTCTGCTCGTTGAAGCAATATCCTTTCTTTTTACACTGATGTATTCAATGTTATTTGTTTGTAGGGATGAAATATTTCAAGTGAGTACCAGTAAGAGTAAAGAAGAATTACTAGAAATTATTCGTCTACTGCCGTGCAATTTGCGGACAGAAGATGTTGAAGATTTCTGTTCACTAGCTTATTACTACAACACTCGAACTCCAGATTCCTACAAGACGGTGAGTTTTCGTTGCAATTTTACCTTTAATTTTGCATGATGGATCTCATAAAGAAATGTAGTTTTTGTAATCACTAAGCAGTTGTTTTTGTCTCCATAAAAGTTCATAATGTATGAAAGAATAATAGAAGAAAAGCAAACAGAAAATTCCCATCTGAAAATTTAGGAATCCAGATTACCTTATTATTCATCAGAAAAGAAATTTGAATTTTGAATGAAAAACTGTATGCATTAGAAAACCTATAAAAGTAACATAATATGGGTAAAAAGTGTTGGGTTCCTCACCAAATCTTTCCAGTGACCCCATCTTTAAGTTGTCACGTAAGCGCTCAGCAGAATTCATGAAAATCAAAACTGCCTTTGCTTGGAGGAGGTGTACTAATTTTTTTTTTTCTGCCCCCAGGAATTGAGAGGTACTTTATTTGGAGATAGTTGTCCTGAAAACTATGAACCCAATAAAGTGATTTCTCAAGCTCTTTGTTTACCAGTTTCACCCATGGAACTAATAACAAAATCAGCCCTTCCAAATGTTCCGGCCAGCACACAGCAAGTTAGATTTTTCCTTATTGATTGCCGTCCAGTGCAGCAGTATAATGCAGGTCACCTGCCTACTGCATTTCATCTTGATTCCAATCTTGTAAGTCACCTCTTTTTCGATAGATTTAATCTAACTCAGTCGTAAGCCTGAAAATGTGTTACTTGTTTGGCAAAGCAAGTCGGATGCTGTTCATTAAAATAGGTCAAAGTCTACTGTCGTCAAGTTGGTTCCCATGTCTGGTCAAAGTCACGGAACTGCAGGTTGAGGATTTTAATTGTATGATTAATACTGGAACCATGGACCATCAGACAAGGTGGGAATCTAAGCATTATCCTATTTGTATCCTCATCAAAATTTCACATAGAACACAATTAATGCAAAGAAAATCATTGAAAGTAATTCCAAACCAAGATATTAACGTTTTTTTATGCAAAAATTCAAACTTCCTGCCCTTAAAAAAACCATGATTTACTTGAGTTAAATCACATTTGTGCTAAAGTTGCCTTAACAGTCTCTGCAGCATGACAATATTGTAGCCTCAATCTTGGCACTTCGGCTCAGCTGTTGCATGTTGTTTCAATCTAGGACATCACTGGGTGGGAAGGAACACTGCTTGATGAAAGAGCCTCCCAAAACTGATTTTTGTAAAAGGAATATTCAAATTTTTCGTAACCTGTGCTGAATGAAAATGTTTTTATCTTGGCTAGGTGGTAACTTCAGAATTTTTTTTTTTTTTCTGTTTATTTGTTTTCACGTAAATTGTGTTCTTGGTAAAATTTTAAAAAGGAAACATAAACCAGAATGCTTATATTTGCATTTAGTCTAATTGTCCGTTCAACCTGTCTCTAGAACTTATGAGATGACGTGTTTTTGAACTATCCATTTCAATTCTCCCAGAAAATTCATTTAGTTGGTCGCGGAAAAAATTTAGTACTCCATTCTCATTTTTAAAACTTGACTCATTCGATCCTAGTCTTTTCTTTTCTCTCTTCTTTTCTGCCTCTTTTTCTTCTTTCCTCCTTTTCACTAGCTTCCGAATTCAATCTATGATTATTGATTAGCAACATTTTTTACGAAATGTATTTTTAAAAAATTTTCTAGATGCTGCAGGAGCCCATTACTTTTGCCACTGCTGTTCAAGGGCTTCTTTCAGCGCAGCAGCAAGCCATTGCTGCCGGTAATAATGCTGGTGGAGAGCATTTGTGTTTCCTCGGCTGTGGCCAACTAGAAGATGATCAGTACACACACATGGTTGTTGCCTCCTTTCTGCAGAAACATACTCCGTTTGTTTGTATGGTCAACGGAGGCTATAAAGGTGAGAACCCGTGCTCTCTAGCCTCAAAATTTCAACTCAACTGATATCAAAACAGCAACTCATAAAGTGTATCTTGCAATCTTCAGTTTTTACCATCTTTGCTCCTTACATCATCAATGATACCTGTGGAGCTTAAAATTTTCAATTCATGTGATTTTGATTTGTGATTTCCTCAAAAAGAGGAATGTTTTATATGATCACCTATCAATTTTGTACTCTTTTTTAAAAAAAAGTGTTCAAGATGTAGAAATGATTTCATCTAACAGTAGTCTGTGTGAGTCAGATTAATACAATGCCCAATTTTGAAATTTTGGCCCTTGTGACAGTTTTCAAGATTTTTTTTATTTATTCAGGTTAGGTTTTTTTTCATCTCTTTCTAAGAAACCCCCCTGATTGCTCACCTTTAAGAAAAACTGCCAGCAAATGCAGGAAATTTGAAAAAAATTGTGTCATAAACTATGCAGGTCAGGCGCTAAGAAGTTAATTTCAGTCTTTGTTCATGCATCCATTTTGATTTGCATGCGGTCTTAACCATAGACAGTCTATTAACTTAGCTGTATCCCATGCGTTCAACAGACCAATTATGTAGATAAAACCGTATTAAAACAGAGATTTTTTGACCAGCAACTTTGCCTCCAAGAAGTATAAAAGAGGAGCAAAGAATGAAAAGAAAAAAATAGAGATGAACAAAACCTATGATGATTTTATGATTCAAGAAATTAATATTAATTTGATTTCTTTGTATTTCCAGTGTTTCTAATTTCTAGATGTAATTTAAGCGCTGGGTGCAGAAAGAGCATTTCTTGGTAGTGGTATTTTAGGATCTCCATTAATGTCTCATCCACTATAATGCATGGAATTTATCAATAATTCTCGTACTGAGTTTTTTCTATGATTTTACAATGCTGAAAACTAAAAATTTCAGAAAATTTACCCTAGTTGTGGAGGTTCTGGAACACCGCAACCAAGGAATGCCCTTTCTGCACCCAACGCCACAATCGGCATCGATTTATCACTTTTATTCCTTCCCTTACAGCCATTCACGAGTACCTTGATTTATCTGTAGACATAAGTCTTCAGGATCACAGTTCTGATAAGTGCCTTGTTTGTTGTGACAAAATCAATTCCATGAATAGTCCTAAGAAAGAAACCAAAGTCAAAAGTGAACCAGGATCAAGTGGTCCATCTAGTTCGAATAGTTCAAGTGATCTCTTTGGAAAAATTGGGTGAGTTGGTTTCAGTTTGTATGTTAAAATTGCCTCCTAAGTACACAGGTTGGGTCAGTCTTCAAACTGGAAACTCGTCTATTATATAATGCTTTGTGCATTTTTTAGTCAGTTTTCCTCATCAACAGCTTCTTAACTGATGTAGAAAGTAGCACTCCTTATTAATTTTCATTTCTATTATTGCCAACCTTCGTTGAATAGAGGATTTGTCAAAATTTCGAACGTAGCAGCAATGGATTTGTTGCAAACAAAAGTCAGAGAAGACAAGTGAGTAGGTATTTTGCAGGTCGGCACATTGTTCGAAAACCATGTTTAGCACATAAAAAATTTCTATTACACAACTCACTGACTCCAAATCAGGCATTCTCCTTACTTAACACGTTTGCAGCCTTTCTTTCAGTTGCTGACAAACAAGTTTGCTGAGTAAGACATGAGTGAAGACTTCTAAAGTAAATAAACAATTAGTCTTGCAAAATGTTACAAATCTTCTTTACATATGATCGTAATGATTTTCAAAAATTCGTGTTTGTATTATCTTTTAAAGAAAGAGGAAACAAATGGCAGTTGTGAGATAGTTTGCTCATTGCATTGTCCACCCATCTGATCGGTTGTTTCAAATTTTAGTTTGCTGCCTTCTTCTTTTTTTTTTTTTTTTTTTTTTTTTT